CCCTACCAGTATCGAGGGCAACTTGGACGAAGCACCCCCTAACACTCAACCCCTCCCCCCCTTTTCAAAGTTTTGGGGGGGGAAGTCCCGCCCCTCCCCTGCCACTAACACACCCCCACCCCCCTGTCTCTTATACACATCTAGATGTGTATAAGAGACAGCCCTACCAGTATCGAGGGCAACTTGGACCAGACAGACAGCAGTGACAAGCACCCCTTAACACTATAACCCCCACCCCTCTTTTCAAAGTTTTTGGGTGGGAAGCACCGTCCCTACACCTGTCTCTTATACACATCTAGATGTGTATAAGAGACAGGCTGAACGTACGTACGGAATTCCGTACGTACGGCCCGTACGGGCCCCCGGGGTCCCGTCCGTACGGTCGTATGGGAGTGCGTACGACCCGTATACGTACGAGCGTATACACAGTTGCACCGTTTTAATTTTGGTCAAGGTCTGTGTGTGCCAAGTTTGGTGTTTGTTGTGGTCTAGGAGTTGAGTGTTTTGGGTAGCCCTGAAAAATCATGAAAATCCTGAAAAATGAAAAGAGTGAATTTTGCATGAAAACACATTGTTGCCATGCCGTTTTATAGATTTTCTAAGTTTTTCTTTTCAATTTTTTTTTGTAAGTAGTTAGTATGTTGTCCACTCTATGAATTAGTGTCGTCTTACAACAACAACAACTACTACTACTACTACTACTACTACTACTACTACCACTACTAGTACTACTACTTCTACTACTACTATGCCCTACATGTGACACTATACATGGCAGTTGTAGATTCCGAAGTAACATGAAATGGACTTCCATCATGTTCCATGCCCATTGGTGATGATATCTACTTCTTGGCAGTTTATGCAGACTTTGCAGAGATTTGCGAACTTCTGCAAACTTCTCAGTAAAATAGCACAGGCCTTTGCAACTAAGTACAATCTTTTATTCAATCGCTCGTGACTTTGTCTATGTTTGCTTCTCACAGACACAACTGTTAGGGCAGCAGCAAAGGCCTGGCAGTAACCCGGAATGGGAGAAATGACCACTGCAGATCTGATGGCGGCAGCAGCATTGACGGTGAAATGCCGAAGTAGGGTAGCCTCACTGCAAATGGCATG